TGCATTCCCACCCATGAGTGCCTGGCAGTTTGCAGAGCAGCCTCAGATGAAGGGCCGGAGTCACAGCAGGGGATGTGCAGAACGGGGATGAGCTGCCACGCATGGCAGCATGCAAATCAATGCAACGCTTTCTCCGGTGCTGTGTGGTGCTACCAACTTCATGCCTCATTGGAGTGCAAGGAGAGATGGATATTTTAGAGGATTTATCAGGCAAAAAGAAGTGTCGGCATTTCTCAGTTTCAACTGGCAGCTCCAGCTTGAGGAAAGCTATTGTTGCAGGATTTCCAACGTCTCGTTGCCTTTCTGATCTGTGGTGCACATTGAACATATGTCTCTGTTTAGTTGCCCATTATTTAACCTAGATTTTTCCCCCCCTTGAGAGATTACAATGAATTCAGGGCACATGAATGGTGTAATTTATCATTTTCCAATATAGACTGTCGTGCACTTACATATAGAGAAAATAATTTGTTGTCAAGTTATCCAGTTACCACCTCATTTTATAAGCTTCATAATAAGCTATTTGTAATGATCCATGCTCGTCAGAAGTCTAAATAACCAAAATATTGCCATCTCACTACAGATAACTACTAAATATTTCCAGCAGCACTGAATCATCCTGATCCCTGGGAGAGCTATGTCCACATTTTTACAGAAATGGTTTGCTACCAGAAAATCCCTTTTCAAGAGTGCCCAGTTTTCTTTTGAAACCCTATAGACTGTGGAAAAATTCATTTTGAGGGGAAAATGCTATTTTATTGGAATTTTTTTTACATCTGTTCCAAGTTACATTTTTTTCCCTGTTTTCCTCTTACTGTCATGTATTCCCTTCTCAAAGGGTATGTCTTACTGTGAGACCCTCCTCATAGCACTAGCATGGTGAAGGTTATGGGCATGCCCTTGTGGTACATGCAAGCTATTTTTCTAAAATATTAGAATGCCTAGAGTACTCTGATTAGTACTCTCCTTGTCACAAAATCCCCAAGATCCTTGTAGTCACTGTTAGAAAGTGGTTCTTCCCGCTGCAGGATCCAGATGACCCTTGGCTGTACCTATCCCACCTCCTGACAGCTAAGGTGTGTTAGAAGAGGCCTTCAGTTAGGTGCATAAAAATGGCTTAGGCTGAACCTGGCTCAAACCCTTCTTTTGTTCCTCTGTTTTTTGGTGTTAAACCATTTCCCTCCCCTGCAAACCGGAGACCCCAGCACCATTTGTTGTGCTTTAGCATTGCGTTGTGTTCTAATCCGCCAGCCTGATGGGGTAGCTGCCCTCGGGGATTTCAAACCTAAGTTATTCCTCCTGTTATTTTATGGCATGACTTCGCACGATGTGACATCCCTGTTTGGCTTGAACAGGGCCCAGTGGCTTGGACTGCCTGACAGACCATAGTCAGAGACTAATGACTGCCTGCATACTGCTAGGAGGAACCCCCTGGGGCAGCAGGGGGACTGCTGCCAGCTCTGCTCTGAATTAACATCTTCACTAAGGAGCAGGCAGGGAGATTAGGCAGCTGAGGACAGAAGGACAAGTAACACCAGCCCCCCGGTGTTCCCGCTGCCAAGAAGTCAGCCTTTTGAAAATACTGTGGGTAGGTTGTTCAGGTCGATCAAACAGATAAATAATCGAGGACCCACACTGTTCCCCAGGGGATTTTAATGTTTCAGATGGATGTAAACATGGCAAGTTGTTATCAGAGAAATTGCAGGAGCTGAAACTGGGCTGAAACTGTTTGTACACAGAAATGATCTCCAGAGCATACGGTTAGGATGTTTATAAAGTGATGAGCTGCTAGCTGCAGTTTCTGTGGCTTCCTAAACAAAATGATGGGCTTAGGTAGAAAAATCCCTGCCCTGCATATTCTCAAACTGCTAAAACAAGGCTACAGAATAAAACAGTAGTGGAGAAAAAAATGGTGGGGGGGAGGTTTGAGAGCTTCTTTGAAGCAGCTCTCTGGAGGAGGAGCACCTCAGAAAAAAACCTAGGGGACAAAAGAGCAAAAAATTAACACAAGATAAACTTTCAACTTGAGTCTTTCTGGTTTTCTAGCTCTTCTTTTGCAACTGTATTTCAAATCTTGTAATTAAAAAAAAAAAAAAAAAAAGCTTTGTTCTATTAGAATAACATTGTTTTTCTTCTTTAACCTTGAGTGGGCTTTTGAAGGAATTCAGATAACTCTGGAAAGCAATAGGAACACTGGGTTTTTTAAAATATTTCTGAAACTAGAAACACTTTAAAGGGTTTGTCTTTGCAGAATACATCATTATTCAATTTTCTGAAAGATGGGTCTTTTGAACCCTTTTCAATTTGCTATTGCTTCTTATTGGGTTGTTTTTTGGATTTTTTTCGTTGGCTGGCTGGGGTTTTTTTTTGCTTTCCAGATATTTCAGTCAAATTACATCACTTGACACTGCAGGGGGACACATGGCCCTCCAAAGGTTTGCTTTGGGAAACCTGGTGCACATTTTTAAAGAGTAATGAATGGTAATACAAATGAACATAGGAGATAAACCAGGGAATCTCCTGCTGTTTGATTAGTTGTGCAGCTCTGGCAAAGAACACCAGCTCAGGGGTGTTGTGGCTTTCTTGGGCATCAGTGCCATTGGACAGGAAAACAAACTTTGGCTGGAAACATCTTCAGGAAGTGCCATGGATTTACTGTCTTGCTGAGACTACACAGGAGATCATGCTCCAGTAAATCAATGCTGAGGCTTTGCAATATGGTGTCCTGGAAACTTGGGCTCTTTTTGTCATTTTGCTTCTGTTTTTTTCTCTGCCCATGGTCCAGTTACTCCATCAGCTCTGACCAGGAAGTGTTCCTAAACTGTTCAAGGCTGGCAATGTTTTTTAACTTCTTCAAGTTATGCACATCAAATTATGATACTTGGGAAGCTGATGGATTTTTACAGGTGGTAGTTGGGCTGTTGCTCCTAATTTTGTCAGGTATTATTCTCACTGACTGCTCACATGTCATGCCTTACCCCAGCCCGGCCCTCCTTGCAGGGTTCATGAGAGGTGTGGGGTTAGGGATGCTGTAGCCCCCACCTTTTTCCCCAAAATCTTCCTTAGGAAGATATGTACTGTAGTTGGAATGAAAGAGAGATGTCACACAGCTGGTCTGCACCTATGAACCCAGGTCAGTCTCTGTGTATTTATTTTAAAACTGTAGCATTGTTTTTGCTTGACTTGTCTTCACTTTCAGGCAGAAGTGCAGTTAACATGACCCCTGTTAAACTGAATGTGGGTGTTAGTCATATATCAAATTGCACTCAATTAATGAAATCACTATGAAATAATGTCTTGAGTGATAACGGTATGAACTGGGGTAGCCCCAGAATGATGTGAAATAACCATAGCAATAGTTAAGAATTCTGTGCTGTTGCCGTGGCTACTAGCCTATTTGACTTACCATTGCAGTGGAAGAATATTAGCCAGGAGACAACTCATTTCTGAGACTCCCACATGACAATAATACTTTCTGCCAAACCTCCCTCCCCCCCCACCCTGCTGGATTGAAACAAGGCAGACATCAAACTGTTACTATTGTTGATTCTTACAACGTGCCCCAAAAGGGAAGCTAGATTTTCAAATGCCATCAGAAGAGGTATTTGAAGTGATATTTGAAAATTTTCACATAGGTTGCTCTTTTCTTAAAAAGAAAAAAAAAGTTTTTAAATAAATTGATTAGTTGTATATAAGGGAGAAAATTGTTAACTTTCTACAGAAATTATTTATATTTTCAAAAATATAAACTATCCCAAATGGAATTATTGTAATCAAAAACTTTAGGATATGTTCTCCAAAACAGCACTGTGGTGCCCTTTTGAAATTCAGTCTGAACATTCCCCTTATCTCTCGTGCATCTGAACAGGCGATCTGAGGAGCTCTCCCAAAGTGCACTGAGATTTAGAGGTACTTTATTCACACTGTCAAATGGTTCCTGTTAAATTACAGCCTAGAAACATGTCCAGTCTGCTCCAATAGTTCAGAAATCCTTGTGGCTCTGGTGGCTTTTTCCACTCTTGGTTCAAGATGCCTAGGAGGAAAGCTGTTAGCCGGAAGGCACCCAAAATAATGTCCTTTGGATAAGTAATAGGGAACCCACTCAAACCACTACCTGCTGTTGAAAATCTAGACCAGGATGTTTTCTTGCCTGTCTGAAAGGACTCCTCTTCCAAGAACAAGTCCAACAAATCCCCAGTGCTTTGGACAGTAGTTATGAGGATTTCCTCAGATGACATTTGTAGGGGTGATGTTGAATATATGTAGTTAAATATGTGTAGTTAATTTTTTTTGGCATAAGACCATGTGCATCACTGTAGCTATAAAGCCTCACAAAACTGCAGGGCTGAAGTTCCAACAGCAACATTTTAGGGATTTGAAAGGAAGAATAAGAATCGCACTGCATCCTCATATCCCAAAACTTTTACCAGAGATAGGTCTTGTGCTTTAGATATTTTGCTTGGCCCAACTTGTGGAATATAGGTACACAGCCATGGAGTCCTGCATCCCAGCAGTCAGAGGGCTGGAGTTTGTACAGAAATGCCTCCAGCTCATGGGCATTTGCAAGGCAACTACTGGAAAAGGCAGCAGTCTTCAGCTCTCCCCTTTTTGGTTGCTCCTGGCATGGAGACCTGTAGCTGGTCTGAGTGAGGCTGAAGCAGGTGCCTGGTGTGGAGGCAGCAGCAGAAGAGCTGCAAAAAACCTCCTTGATTAGCCACTCAACATATCTAGTGCAACTTCTGAGGATGCCCTGATCCAGAGCCTAAGGACAGTGAGTACATTTGGATGACTCAGTGAGGTGGGACAGGGTGGAGAGGCTAATCCCTGTCTGTTCCTAAACAGTACAAAAAGGAAGATCCAAAACAAGCAAATCATCACCAACCTCCAAGGAGTCAAGGAGACTTGCTGGTGGATAGCTGGTGTCTCTCCTCCTTCATGTCCTTGCAAGGGATCCTGGACTGGGCACTTGGAACACACGTCTTGATGCCTGCTGATGGACTGGCTGCTTGGACACGGTGAGTATACAAGTGTGGGGAAATAATTTTTACTTTAAAATGCAATCATTTCCGCCTCCTTCAAGATTCTGCAGTGAACTTTGCTGCACTGTTGCAACACTATTTCCTACATTTGTTCAAAGAGGAAAAGATAGTTCAGGACCCTGCTTTAACCCTAACATGAGTCAGTTCAGTGTGCAACCTCAGTCACACCGACTGGTGAATCCAGACCAGCACTCAGGGAGCTGGAAAGAGGGGAGTAGTTCAGGAGGGAGCTGAGAAGAGAGGATCTGATAGGAGAAGGATAAAGCTGCTCCCAGCCCTTGAAGTGCCTGCAAGGAGGTGCGAAGGTGAGAGATGCTTAAAATCCAGCGGTCAGCTCTCTGTCCCAGTGATGGCTTGAGAAAACTGGGATGCTAGGGGTGGTCTCTGCTGCAGCAAAAGCTTGTCTGGAGCCTGCTGAGGAGGAAAGGCAGCTTGCATGTAGATTTGTGGTGTTGTTGTATAGCTGAATGAAAGCATAAATCAGCTCTCCCCTCACCCTGCCTCCCCTCCTCTTTCTGTGTCCCTTAATACATAAAAATAAGGATCCTTTATGTGAATAAAAGTAGAAGGCGCCTCCCCTAAGTATGTTTTAAAAAAGCCAAAAATAGTCCCGAAGTCTCAACCAAAAGCGAACATAGCCAGAATTTCTGTGGAAAATGTCTGTAGCTGAAGTGGAGTGTGTGTGTAGCGGGGGGAGGAATTCACATTCAAACAGGGGCTGCCCTGTGCAGCCGGGCATTTCTCCTTGCCCCCAGCCCTGCCCCGCACCCTGCTGGGGGCTGACCCAGCACGGAGCCGGGACGGGACCCCGGGAGGCAGCAGAACCTCCGCTGTGGGCTTCCCTGTCCTTCGTCTGACAGTTCTTGGCAGCTCTGGCGCAACGTGTTGTTAACAGCAGTCCTAATTAATGGGGAACATGTGTGTGTTGCAGAAACTTTTTTTTTTTTTTTTTTTTTCCTCCCCCCCTTCTTCAGTTTGATGGAAATACCGTAAAACTGTTTATATCCACTATAAAAGGGGCGGGGGAGGGGTTTACTATCTTCCTATCCCAAAGGTTTCCTTTACCTCAGATCAACCCATTTTGGGAACAGGCACTTCTCAAATCCCGGGGTGCCTTTTCCTAAATGCTTTCACACATCTGCACCACTCTGTCTTGCATTCCTGCCATACCATCATCTTGTCCTAATGAAAAATAGCAGACTTCAACCCTGCCAAGTCCATCTTTTACTTTTTTTTTTAAAGACAAAATCCTGTTTATCAAAAAGAATTTGAGAAGTTTGTTGATTTTTTCCATTCATTAACTTAAATTTTGGAAAAAAAAATTAAGAAACTTTTGCTTTCCCAACTGTTTTCCCTTCTTGAGTAATAAGAAAACAAATGTTTATATACCATCTGCCACCAGCATGTTCCACAGATGATGTGGTAGACTCATGTCTTCAGTTCACCCCTAGCTCAAAAATAAGGGTCCCATGTCATAGGTGACTTGCTCTGCAGCTCAAAGAGTGTTTTGGTTGGCTTAGGAATAAACACAGGAAGAGCAAAGCAAAGCGAAGCATAGATCTGTCCTCAGCTGGTGCTGAACACTGAGAGGACAAGTGAGCCCAGTGCAATGCAAGATTTCTCCAATGGCTTGTGAGTGTTGTAGGGCTCAGGGGACAGAGGTACAGTGTGGCAAGGCTGTGCTGAGATTGTGGACTCTGAGTGGGTTGGACCTTGGCAGCCCTTTGTGGTGCCCTGTTATGCAAAGCACACAGACCCACAAAGTTTACTGCAGCCGGGCCTGGAGCAAGGACAATTTCCAGACCTCCCCAGGGTACAGATGATGCTGCAGGACACCCCTATAAAGCTGTGCTTGGCCTTTCTTTGATGCTCAAGCTATAGAGACACCTGTAGAAATCCTTTCATAGAGGGGTGTGAATAAAATGTAAGACATGGGAAGAGAGCCCTAATGAATCTGATCTTCTTAAGAGAGGCAGATATTCCTGCTCCCACTTTATAAATGTTGAAGAAGGAGAGATGGACTAAAAAAAGGCCAGCTGGTGGAAGATGGTGGAGAAATCCATACTCCACACCCATCTTCTGAAGTTTCCTACTGCCAGGATGAGGAGAAGCAGCTGATAACCTTCTGGATTTCCCCAAGATCTGGAGAGGCTTTCACATCTCCCTTGGGTGGGTTCTTCTGCAGCTGGATAGATGAGGTGGGCTGCAGGATCAGCAAACAGCACAAGGGTTGTGGAGCTGTCCTTTGGATTTCAGGTTGTGTGCATGCACTGGTAACTTGGAAAAAACCTGTCATATCCTGACAAGCCTGGAAGGAAACATTATCCTAGACTGTAACCAGGTTCCTGAATGTGTTTGCTGAAGGTCCTGGGAGACCAGATATCAACAAAGAGCAGCTGTCCAGTCTCTTCTGGAGGAGGACATTTCTGAGCAGAGATGTGGGGAATACCTGTTTTGGAAAGAGTGGCTTCATCCAGCTATTTCTTGAACTTTGATTGCCGTGGTAAGCTCTTGGAGACGTATAGAGTATATAGGAGAGGAGCAGAATGATGAATAGCAATCAGTATGCAATTTTGGCTTAGGGCAAAGTTAAATCTTACATTTTCCAGGAGAATGTTATTTCTGGTGGTTTTGGTGTTTTGCGTTAAAGAACAAGTTCTAAAATTACATAGATAACACTTTTTCCTACATTTGCCCCAAAAGAGGGAAAAAAGAGAAGGCCATTCGTAAAGCCTTGCCCTTTGTTTCTTGTGGAAGACAGCAGAAAATTTGAGACCAAAGCATCATATGTTTCACTTCTCATCAAACCCATGGAAATGTCATTTTTTCCAGGTTTACCAGAGCCACAAATATGTTCACACAAGCCGATACTACCAGTACAGCTAATGGGCAAGTCCACAGCCAGCAGTTGTTGGCACTGCCCTGGGGTATTCTTGTTACCTTAGCAGCTTGCCAACCAGGGTATCATTTTCCAGATGATTTGCATGGAACTATGGCAATTTGTATCCAACGAGGACCTGGCCAACTTGGGTCATACCCTCTCAGGAGGACTTGCTTTTGCAGAGCTTTAACCTTACCTTCTAAACCAACTTGCCTGAAGTGATTCACCTTTTTGTCAGGTTCTCAGCTGACCTGACGTTTCCTCCATGAAATGATATATTTATATACATGACATTTCCTCCATGGCAATGCATTGTGTGGCTTTGTGACATATCTGGCAAAGCCCCTCTGGGAGAGTCCAGTTTGGGTGAAACTCCAGCGAAGGAACATGGCAGGGGTACTCTGTTTTCTGGATGAACAGAAAAGGAAGAAAAGCAAGCAAGTGGAGGAAACTAGTAGAATCCTAAGATGAAAGAAGAGATGGGGTCATTGCTGAATGACTATAACAGACCTTGTCTGAGGTTACTGATTTGTGACAACCTTGAAATCTTATAGATAGTCTGTTTTTTCCCCACAGTCTGCCAAGACCTTGCTGACACATTCAGCATAAAAAAAGAACCAGCAAATGCTGGTTTCTGGATAACCCTCCTCTAATGCATTTGGTGCTTTAGCATGCAGAAAGAGAAGGCTCCATCTTTTTGTCTTCTATGAGAAGCTGGTTAGTCCTTATCCCCTTTTGGTCCACAGATTGAACTTGTCCTGTTCCCATCTTTTGTGCCTTTCAGGAATGGGAGCTTTTTAAAGTTTGTGATGCCTTCAGGGCTCATCCCAATACACATAGACATGTACTCTGTAACAGCTTTCAGAGAAATACCCTTACCAGCATGACCTGTTGTTTTCTGGACACTGGTGTCTAAGCAGATAGTGTTGCCAACCTCAGGTAAAACAAACTGCATTTGCCTTTAGAAGAGCAAGGCAGGAAAAGTAGCTGTAAAGTTGGGAATTAAAAGGTAAGATGTGTCACTGCTGGGCTGAGAAAGCCACAGCATGCTAGTCCTCAGAAATGTCCATAGCCAAGCCTAGGTTCATCTCAAAGAGCGTTAATGTCCAAACTGGGTGGATTTGGGGAGGTGTACTCAAAGAAGAGGACAAACCCACCCATTTTGGGTTTTCCCACAACTGAGAGTGTCAAACCAGTGTGTGCAGAGTTGACTTCTCATCACCATCCCACCCTTTGGTGCCTGTCTCCCCTGGTGCTCCCCTCCTCCATCAAGGTGCCTCTGCTGTGGCTGAGGAAAAGCTCAGTGTGGTGAGGGACCTGCTGTGCACAGTGACCGTGCACGCCAGGGGTTGTGCTGTAGCATTTTCTCACCAACTCTGGCTTGTTTCAGCTATGCTTGTAGCCTATACATACCTTTTTTTAGTTTTTTGCTGGACACTGACTTGGAACTCCACATTATTTTTCTACTTCAATTCTCTTGACAAATGACTGTTCAATCTAGGCCTCCCCATATCCCCTCTCTGTTTCTCTTTCTCTTGGATCTTAGCCACTCTTGGGGTTTTAACCAGGGTCTTTGACAGACATCTTCAAAGCAACCTGTTTCCTTATTCAGCTTGAGATCAGTTGTAAGTTATTCTGTGGCCAGCTTTTTTTTTTTTTAATGCAATCTCTGCTTTAGAGCATAGTACTTATATGTTTCTTCTTTGTGGGTAGAGAAAAAGGCATTCTTCTGATTTCTGGCCTGTGGTATCAGAACTGGATTTCTTCCTGCCAAGCACCTCAGGACTAGCAGCTGTCAGACATAACTTATGTCAGACATAAGTCTTATGTCAGCCAGTCTGACTTGTCCCACAGTCATCCTATAGCTTTCTAGGTGCAGCATGGAGTACTATAAAAATGTTCATAGTTTTAGTATTTCAGCCTTGGTAAAACATCCAACTACTACGTGCAGCCACCAGCTACAGGTTTTTTTGTTCTGTTGTTTTTTTTTCTCCTTATTCTGGTGTTCAGCAACCACCTAGCACTTTTCATGGTCTTTATATAAACCTGCCACAGCTACATCTCCTCCAAAAAAAAGCAACAGACCTTGGAAAGG